GGTGATAAGATGGGTGGTAAATTCCACATTTTTCTTCAACACAGGCTGGATGACTTTCTGTTCTCTTACAGTGTAACCCCATGTTACTTGCCTTACAACTTAGCATTTAAATGTGTTCCTAGGTCAAGGCCGAATTTGCTGAAACTTGTCTCAGTCACAAAGTAAGAGAAAAGTAAGACAAAGTTATGTTCAGGCATCGAACTAAGAGAGCTCAGTACTGTTAGAAAGCCATGTTGAAAAACCACTGGCGTGATAAGGAATATGTGTTTGGAATTATTTTAAAGCTGTTAAGTTGTATTCAGTTAACAACGGTTGATTTAAGAGAGACTTGATTGATATCACGTAGATAATTTACTTGGATGAAGTAATCTGATGAAAGGAGACCAATCCAGACAATATCTGGTAAACCACTTTTACACCCTTTCCACATCCTTCCCATAATGTGTTGATTTGAATTACACACAATACTCCAAAGGTGGCCTAACTAAAGTTTTATGTAGCTGCAATAGACTTAATAACTTTTATACTCAGTGCCCCAACTGATGAAGGCAAACATGCCGTACAGATTCTTTCCTGCCTTACCCACTTGTGTTGTCACTTTCAGGGAGATATGGACTTGCACCCAAGATCCCTCTGCATATCAATGCTCCTAAGGGCCCTCCATTTACTGTATACTTTTGTATTTGACCTCTCAAAATAAATCACCTCACATTTGTCTGGCTTAAACTCCATCTGCCATTTCTCTGCCCCAATTTTCCAACTGATCTATATCCTACTGTATCCTTTTACAACCATCCTCACTTTCCACAACTCCTCCAATTGTCATGTCGTCTGCAAACTTACTAATCAGGCCACATACATTTTTACCCAAATTATTTATATTAGTTACAAACAGCAGAGATCCCAGCACTGATCCTTGAAGACCTCCAGTCAGAAAAACACTTCTCCATAACTACTCTTTGTCTTCTATGAGCAAGCCAATTTTGTATCCAACTTACGAATTCACTGTGGATCCCAGGTGACCTAATCTTCTGGACCAGCCTACCATGAGGGACCTTGTCAAATGTTTTATCAAAGTCCAAATAGATAACATCCACTGCCTAACCTTCATCGATTATCTTTGTCACTAAGAGTCATAGAGTTGTACAGCATGGAAACAGACCCTTCAGTCCAACTTGTCCATGTCGAACAGATATCCTAAGTTAATCTATTCCCATTTCCCAGCATTTGGCCCATATCCCTCTAAACCTTTCCTATTCATAAACCCATACAGATGCCTTTTAAATGCTGTTATTGTACCAGCTTCCACCACTTCCTCTGGCAGCTTTTTCCATGTATACACCATCCCCTGCATGATAAAGTTACCCCTTAGGTCCCTCTTAAATCTTTCCCCTCTCCCATTAAACCTATACCCTCTAGTTTTGGACTATCCCACCCCTGGGCAAAGACCTTGGCTATTCACCCTATCCATGCCCCTCATGATTTTATAAACCTCGATAAGGTCACTCCTCAGCCTCCGACACTCCAGGGAAAACAACCCCATCCTATTCAGCCTCTCCCTTTTGTTCAAACCCTCCAACTCTGGCAATACCCTTGTAAATCCTTTCTGAACCCTTTCAAGTTTCATAACATCCTTCCTTTAGCAGAGAGACCAGAATTGCACACAGTATTCCAAAAGTGGCCTAACCAATGTCCTGTACAGCCACAACAAGACCTCCCAACTCCTATACTCAATGCACTGCCCAATATAGGCAAGTATACCAAGCACCTTCTTCACTATCCCATCTATTTGTCACTCCACTTTCAAGGAACTATGAACTTGCACTCCAAGGTCTCTTTGTTCAGCAACACTCTCCAGGAGCTTACCATTTCATGTATAAGTCCTGTCCTGATTTGACATTCCAAAATGCAGCACCTCACATTTATCTAGATTAAACTCCATCTGCCACTTCTCGGCCCATTGACCCATCTGATCAAGATCCCGTTGTACTCTGAGGTAACCTTCTTTGCTGTCCACTACACCTCCAATTTTGGTGTCATCTGTAAACTTACTAACCCTACCTGCTATGTTCAAATCCAAAACATCTATATAAATGATGAAAAACAGTGGACCCAGCACTTCCTCAATCAAGTTAGTGAAACAAGACCTCCCCTCCACAAAGCCATGCTGACTATCCCCTTTTAGTCCATTATTTCCCAAATGTCAGTAAATCCTGTTCTTAACAGTCTTCTCCAATAATTTCCTTACCACTGTTGTAAGGTGCACCCACCTGTAATGTTCTGGATTATCCCAATTGCCCTTCTTAAACAAAGGAAAAAAACATTGACTATTCTCTGATGCTGAGAGAGCAGAGTCAAGTCTGCGGAAATAGAAATGAAATAATATTCGAACAGAAATAAGCCAAAAAGGCTATTTGAAGTAATGTGGGAAAGAGGAAGAAAGAAAGTAATTGTTCCTTTCATTACTTTTTGTTGAATAATGCTTAATGATTTTTTTTTTACATGTACATGACTCTGGAAAGAGTCCAGTAACATAGAGTCCAGTAAAAAATGATTATTCAAAAGAGCCTTTAAAATTTCAGGTTTTGATAATGGATTAATCCCATTGCATTCTAGCAAGGTGTTATTTTTAGTGGGGAACATATAGTATATAATAAGAGGTAAGCATTTTGTTATACTGCCCTCTCTGTTGGGAAAACATAAATGAAGTGTTTAGTATGGCTGCTTGAAGTTGAGTCTCACATTAGTGTTTTCTCAGTGCGGTGCACAATAAATTCAAAACAAAATACAGCAAAATGCTGGAAAAATTGAATTGGTCACTCACCATCTGAAAGAGAATGCTCAGTGAATGTTTCAGTTCAGGCCGATCAGCAACGTTCTGAGAAGGGATGCTACAAGACAACACACCTCTTTCTTGTACGTGTTCGATTCTTGTTGTCAAGGCTCCAATTTTTTTGATGGCACAGAGTTTATGATGGCTAGATAGTTGTTATTCCAGTAGAAATGGGAGATGTACATAGGGACCCTGTGGAATGCCCATCATAGCAAACTCCAAAGGTATTGCCTCTGACATTGAAAATTCCACTGAGCAATTCCATTACGTCTGAAACCCTGCAATGGTCTCCATTTAAATTGGTGAATTCAGAGGCGTCTGATGAGATTCAGTGCATAATTACTCAGGAAATGTTAGTTTGTAAAGTACACAGTCTAATTCCTGAATAGCTATTCAACTGACCCCATATTACCTGAAATACACCCAACTGCACTCTGCCAAATCTAACCTTTTAATTCATTTACGGAATGAGAGCGTTGCTGGCTGGACTAGCATTTATTGCAGATCCCTAATTGCCCAGGGGTCAGTTAAGAGTTAACCACATTGTGTGGATCTGGAGTCAGATGTAGGCCAGGCCAGGTAAGGATAGTAGCTTCCTTCCCGAAAGAACATTAGTGAACCAGATGGGTTTTTCGAACAATTGACAATGGTTTCAGGTCACCATTAAACTCTTATTTCCAGATTTCTGTTGAATTCAAAAACTACTGTTTAGTAATGAACTCCCAGCACCCCTCTGTTATGCTCTGAACCTACTCTTCCCTTCCCCAATCCAGTCTCATTCCCATCTTCAGGGGCTCCCTGGGAGCTGACCTGTCATCTCCATCCCCCACTCCAGCTCTGACCACCCCCTTTACGCCTGTGGTGTACCCTTCTTCCCCCACCAGTGGACCAGCTTCCCATACCCTCACTTCAGACTCGACCACCTTGTCCTACTTTAGACCTGACACAGTTTTCCATGCTGCTGGAGCTGACCCCTATCCCCTGCTGTAGACCTGAGCACCCGAATCCTTACCTTCCAAACCCCCCATTCCAGTCCCAATCCCCCTTACTCTGCTCTGAACTTGCTCTTTCCCTCCTCTGCCAACCCCTTCTTCTGCTTTGCATCCAGGGTGACTCTGGACCCCTATCCCTAGACCTGAACCCCCTCTGCCAGGAACCTGATCCTGCACCAAGCCCATCAACACGCTCACCTGCTTTGGAGCTGATGTTCATCCTCCCCCATTGGACCCAATTTCTTTCACCCACTCTGACCTCCCCTTAAACTGCATCTCTTCACTGACCAAGGTACAGGGCTGGATGAACACAGGGCTGACGTAAGGGTCTAGGCCTCTCTGCTCCTATGATGCTGCTTGGCCTGCTGTGTTCATCCAGCCCTGCACCTTGTTGTCTCGGATTCTCCAGCATCTGCAGTTCCTACTATCTCCTCTCTTCACTGACCACCTTCTGCACGAACCATTGGCATTCTGCTCCCCACATGCCTAGCACACCTGACCCCTGGCAGCCTATTTACCACCCACTTCGCATCCTACTCAGCTGGCACCTGACCCCCTATGCAAATGGTACCCCACTTACAGGGTCTCTTACCCAGATGACAGTCTACTCTTCACATACCCAAGCATTGCACTTACCTTTATGTACTTACCATTTGACTGCAGCTGTCAAAGAGGGTGAGTGTGATTTTGGACCTTGAAATTTGAGAAAGCCATTGTGAGAAGGGGACATGGCTTGTCTTCCTCTGACAGTTCTCCACTATGAGAGGACAATCAGAATGGAAGTATGGCTCCATATATCTGAAGTAGCCCTAATCGGAATCTTCTGTCAGAAATACAAAGCTATGTCTTTCTTTGTAAACAAAAAAGAAAGAGTGGAGTTGTAATCTTCTGCAGAATCTCTGCATGAGATTGCCACCCTTTGAAAAATCTGGTCTGATTTCTCTTTTTATGAGAAAATGTTGTCCTCTTGTCTGACATTGTTAAATAGCCAACAAATTCATTACATTGTGACTCACTCTTACAATTTCTTAATAAAGAAAACTGTCCTTTTTTTCTCTCCCAGTACATTTCTTTCATAATCTCTGTTAACCAGAGCAATTTTATCTTCAGCAAGTGTACTGTTGCTTAAAGTTAGCTTCCAGAAGCAATTTTTAACCTTATTATTTCACTTGTAGGTTGTTTACAAAAACAATGATGTTCGGTTGGAATTATCACGGCTCGCAAAACAAGGAGATCAGAAGATGAAGATTCATGGAATGGTGGCCTTCAAATGTGAGAACGTTGCAACACTAGATCCAATCACATTTGAAACCCCTGAATCTTTTATCTCGTTACCAAAGTGGAATGCTAAAAAGACGGGCTCTATTTCATTTGACTTTCGTACCACTGAGCCAAATGGACTGATTCTTTTTAGTCACGGCAAACCACGACACCAAAAAGATGCCAAAAATCCCCGAATAGTGAAGGTCGACTTCTTTGCTATTGAAATGCTTGATGGACACTTGTACCTTCTTCTAGACATGGGATCTGGTGCTATTAAAACAAAAGCCACTCAAAGGAAGGTGAATGATGGAGAGTGGTATCACGTGGATTTTCAGAGAGATGGACGATCAGGTGGGATTTTCTAATTTTTATTGATTACTAATTGTTAAAACAAACCATCAAATCCAGTGGGCTTGATGAGGAAGGGAGAGAAAGTAGATTGAGATTATGTCGCACCTGAGTCTTGATGTTCAAAGGTTTTCAGTTTCTGGATTTGAAGACAAATTCTGTTCCCATGCCAAGGCCTCAGGAGGGTGGGATTCCCAAATCCAAAACTTCCCACGACCCCAATCTGAGATACGTTCTTTGGTATAGCACCGACTGGCACTAAGAAAACCAATCATGAAAGTTATTTTAAAAATCACATGGAGATCACATAACTTGTGACCTGAATAGAATATCAGTGAAAGTGTTTTAAAAAACTTTCAGCATTGGGCAGAATCTGGCATTCTGGAGAGTAGACGTTTTGGATGGTGGGAGAGACCAAGCATTAACCTCCAAATCACCAATACCACATTTTGCCGAAACTAGGTTCTCACTGCTTCCTTGCAATGGAGATTTACCACGTACAGATTCCTGCAATTGTAGAGACCATTGCTGTTCAGTTCCTGAGCTGATTGATAAAGTTGCATTCCTATGGAATTTCCGCTCTGAGAATTTTAGGAAATAACCAATGTTATTAAGTTGTGGCTTGTGTTGTCTAAACAAAAGTAGTTGCCTTTGGTGGCACACATTCAGTGACTGGATGATATAGCTTGTTCATGGCCTCTAACAGTCTTTCAAAGTTGTGTGAAAAATAGCCACGTTTCTCGTGGATTTGTGTTTACAGGATAATAAAACTAGCATTAAAAGCAATACAATCAGCTGATGTTCAGTTAAAGAAGGTGTCACCCTCAATCCCCCAAATGTTTCAATAGTATGATTGCTAATCAAAATTTCAACAGAAAAAGGCCTTTCTCAGGCTGAATAAGTTCATTTCATTGAATGGTTAACCTAAACAAACCAGGAAACTCCTGTGTCTGATCTCAGGCTTTGCTGTAGTAGTTGGTTTTCATCAGGCCACAGGTTAGAGAGTACCTTGTTATGATAATGTCCAATGTGCTTAGTGGAAGTCGACAGGCATGCAAGTGAGGGACAGTGATTTAGATCAGCTAGAGCTCACATTGAAACTGTGCTTTTTAAAAGAAAAATTTAATCTGCCCTAACCACATTATTGAGGTTCCCACAGGCAAAAAAAAAAGGTTCTAAGGGCAACCTTTCCTCTCTAAATCTTTCTGTGCCACCTTACAAAGATAAAAAGCTAAAATTAAAGTTGAATTGCAGGTATTTTACAGATTGGGAAATGTTACATGGAAAAAATATTTTTAAGAGTTGAAACAGGATCTGCAAGTGTTTACCATTGGATGACAATTTTACTCATATATACAAAGCATAATCAATTTGGTTATATTTGTTATTTTTCCATACTGCCATAATTGTTCTCCTACCATTAGGTTTGTTGTACGTTGCATATCTCTCAGTGATTAACTGATCAGGCAGGTTTCAAGTTGGGAGGGTAGGGTGATGGGGACCGAGGGATAATTCAGATTGGAGAGAAAACAAACCCCTAATGGGAAGTAGAAAAGTAATACATAAAATTATAAGACAGACAAAGCAAATAAAATCATCAAATAGGATCAGAATACAGAACAATATTAAGAAGGGAGAATTGAAGGTACCCAATTTGAATGCATGAAACATCCAAGTTGAGGATTTGAAAGCAAAAATTGAGGTAAATGGGTATGATTTAATTGCTATTATGTGATATGACTACAGGGTGACCACAATTAGGAACTAAATTTCCAAGGTGACTCATCATTTTCGAAGGATAGGCAGAAATGAAAAGGTGGTCGGGAAGTGCTCTTAAAAAGGGACGAGGTCAGTTGAGAGAGGGTCTTAGACTGAGGATCAATGTGTACAATCATTTGAATGAAGCAAAGAAATGGCAGAAGGAAGCAAACATTGGCAGAAATTGCTTTTAGGCTACCAACTAAAGTGGTCATGTTGGGCATCATGTTACTGAGGAATTTAAACTTCCGTGTAATATGTGTAACACAGTAATAACAGGCAACTTCACTTTACACACATGGGTAAACCTAATCAGCACTAATGTTGTGGAGAATGAATTCCTCAAGTGTGTACAGGGTGAGTTTCTGGAACAATACATTGAAGAGCTATTAATGGCAAAATGCAGCATTCCCACAGACAGCTCAGAATCACTGGCCCAAGACCGTCCAAAGTAGAGGAGGGGTATCTGGGAAGGTGTCAAGTATCTCAAGACTTGCCCTTGGGAACAAATTGAAAGCCAGGCGAAAACACACAGACATGCCCCACTCACCCCTTCCTGTGGCCACCTTCTGCCCTAAGTATAACAGAAGCAATGATGATGATGTGAAGACAGAAGCAAAGTATGAATTTAGTTTATCAGCATTTCTTTGCTCCCCATTGTAAATGCCCCCATTTCTGACTGTAAGTGATCAACATTAGTTTGCACTTCTCTTTTTCTCTTTAGATCTCTGTAGAAATTTTTGCATTCAATTTTTATGTTACCCACAAGCTTACCGTCATGCTCTGTTTTTCCCTTCTTAATCAAATTTTGGTCCTGTTTTGTTGACTTCTGAACTGTTTCCAATCCTCAAGTCTGTTGCTTATTGTTAACAAAGTGTGGAGCTGGAGCAACACAGCAGGCCAGGCAGCATCAGAGGAACAGGAAAGCTGACATTTCTGAA